TAACCATTAAAACCCACTGAGTGACCTTGAGCAAATCACAACCTCAGAGAAAGTCAATGACAAACTGCTTTCAAACAAATATTGCTAAGAAACTCCTGTGATATTTTCACTTTAGAGTTGCCATATATCAAAAATGACTTGTACAACAGCAATTACTTTACTCTCTCTCTCTCTCTCTCTCTCTCTCTCTCACACACACACACACACACACACACTTAATCCTTCTGTCTTTCTGTCTCTTTCCTGTTATTCCTTGTATCCACTATTCTGTAGAGGAAGCCTAAAGCTGGCTCCCCTCTTGAACACTACTGTATATCATCTAGTCATTGTAAGTGCATTAAAAAGATCAGTTCTCATCAAATTAATTTATCTTCTTTGTATCATTGATAATTGTATAGCCTACTTTACTTTTAAACATATTTAATATATGTGTTTTAGCTCCTTCCAAGTATGCTGTAAATAATAATAAACATTTCAAATGTCTCTTCATGATCTTTAAGCAGAGAGAGAGAGAGAGAGCAGTTCTTCTGGCAGTGGGATTCTTCTCTGAAGTGATTCAGCTTTAATCCACCAAAGTTCATGTTGAAAAGAAAGCTAAGATTTCCATGCATTTTTAGGGAAAGACCAATTTCAGGAAATACAACACTGAATCATAGAACTGGAAGGGACTGCAAAAAATAATTAGTCCAGTACCCTGCCAGAACATACAGTTAATGCATTCCTGAGAGATGACTATCCAATCTTTGATTAAAAACCCTAAAGAAGAAGCATTTACCATTCTGGGTTGTTGTAGGTTTTCCAGACTGTATGGCCATGTTCTAGAAACATTCTCTCCTGACATTTTGCCTGCATCTATGGCAGGCATTCTCAGAGGTTGTGAGGTCTGTTGGAAACTAGGAAAATTGGGTTTATATATATATATGTGGAAAGTCCAGGGTGGGAGAAAGAACTCTTGTCTTTTGAAGCTAGGTGGGAATGTTTAGCATTTGATGGCCTGGCAGTTTTTAGGTGTGGCTTGTTCCTGCCTGGGGGAATCCTTTGTTGATGATGAGTGATAAGCTGTTCCTGATTGTTTCTTCTCTGGAGTTCCCCTGTGTTTGAGTTTTCTTCTTTATTTACTGTTCTAATTTTAGAGTTTTAAAATACTGTTAGCCAGATTTTGTTCATTTTCATGTTTTTTCCCCCTTTCTGTTGAAATTGTACACATGCTTGTGGATTTCAGTGGTTTCTCTGTGTAATTTGACATGGTGATTGTGGAGTGGTCCAGCATTTCTGTGTTCTCAAATAATATGTTGTGTCCAGGTTGGTTCACCAAATTCTCTGCTATGGCTGACTTCTCTGGTTCAAGTAGTCTTCAATGCCTTTCATGTTCCTGGATTCATTTTTGGGTGCTGCTTTTGGTGGTCCTTGTATAGACTTGTCAACAGCGGCATGGTATATGGTAGACTCCTGCAGAGGTGAGAGGATCCCTCTTGTCCTTTGCTGAACGTAGCATTTATGGATTTTCTTGGTGGGTCTGTAGATAGTTTGTAGGTTGTGTTTCCTCATCAGCTTCCCTATGCGGTAAATTCTTTCTTTCTCCCACCCTGAACTTTCCACAGATATATAAACCCAATTTTCCTAGTTTCCAACAGTCCTCACAACCTCTGAGGATGCCTGCCATAGATGCAGGTGAAACATCAGGTGAGAATGCTTCTAGAACATGGCCATACAGCCTGAAAAACCTACAACAACCCAGTGATTCTAGCTATGAAAGCCTTTGACAATACATTCACRATTCTATGAGGTTGTTGGGATCCAACAGTGCTATACACATGTAAGATAGCCCTCATGATGGGAAATAGATTSATCAGTAGATAGGGTTTTAAATGTTTGTAGGGAAGTTCATCCCTAATTTAACCTCTCAAGTTATCTGTCCTATGGCCATCTTTGATGCTGAGGCTGCAATCTCTCATTGTCACGGCCCTTTCTCAAGTTTCCAGACCCCTTCCTGGAATTTTCTAGTTTCTTTGCTCTCAAAGAATGAGCTTAGCCTAGCTAGAGGAAAATTTTAGTCTCTTTTTCTTTCAGCCATGTAGTTCACTTTTTGTAACTTTATTTATTATTTATGTATTATTTACCATATTTATACCCTGTCCTTCTCATGCCAAAGGGGACTCAGGGTGTCCTTGCAGCAGGCAGATGGTTGATAGGAGGAGATACATTCAGACAGGTAAGCTGGGCTGAAACCATTTAGGGATTTATAGGATAAAGCCAGCACATTGAATTGTGCTCAGTAGCAGACTGGCAGCCAGTGGAGCTGGCATAACAGGGGAGTTGTGTGTTCCCTGTGCCCCGCTCCGGTGAGCAATCTGGCTGCCACCTGTTGGATGACTTGGAGCTTCCAAACAGTCTTTAAAGGCAACCCCACATAGAGCATGTCACAGTAGTCTATTTGGGATGTAACCAGAGCGTGGGCCACCGTGGCCAAGTCTGACTTCCCAAGGCATGAGCGCAAGTGGTGTACAAGTTTTTATTGTGCAAAAGGCCCCTAGCCACTGCCCAAACCTGGTATTCCAAGCTCAGCAATGAGTCCAGGAGAACTTCCAAGCTGCAAACCTGTGCCTCCAGGGGGAGTGTAACCCCATCCAACACAGCCTTGAAACTAACCACAAGTACTTCTGGTCTTGTCTGAATTCAATTTTTTTGCCCTCCCAGATGATTACAGCTGCCAAGCACCGGTACAGGACTTGGACAATGTCCTTAGCAGTAGGTAGAAAGGAGTAATAGAGTTGAACATCATCTGCGTACAGATCACATCAAACTCCAAAACTCCAGATGATCTCTCCCAGTAGCTTCATGTAGATGTTAAACAACATGGGGGACAATACAGAACCCTACAGGACCCCACAGGACAAAGGTTGTGGGACCGAGCAGGTTTACCCCAAAAACACCTTCTGGGAACGCTCCTCCAGAAAGGACTGGAATCACTGTAGAACAGTACCTCCAAGCTCCGTTCCCACAAGGTGTCCCAGAAGGATACCATGGTCTATGGTATCAAAGGCTACTGAGAGTTCCAGGAGAACCAACAAGAGGTTAAGGTTTTGCTCCTTAAGTGTTGTATGTCATTTTTCCTCCTGATATGTGTATCTCTCTGCTAACAGAGGTAGTCTCTTCCACTGCTAAACAGCAGTTAAAGTGAAGACATTATTATCAGTGTTTAGATGGAACATCCTTTTTTTAAAAAAATAAATAATCTGAATCCACTGGATTATGTTTGAATCTTTGCAGCAGAAGATATCAAGTCCACTCCATCTTCTACATGGCATTGCTTCAGATATTCAAAGAGCTCTATCATATCATTTCAGTCTTTCCTCTTCCAAACTAAATATACTCAGCTCCCTAAAATGTTCTTTTTTAAAAAAAAATATTGATTTTTTCCTTGCATATAAAATTAGACTCCAATAAATTGGAGTGTGAAAAAAGAAAGAAAAGAAAAGAAAGGGAAAATTAATTAATTAGGGTTACAATGAAAGTGTGGGAACATATTGTAGCTCCCTAAGATGTTCTTATAAAGCTTTAGTTTCCTTACTATCTTGGTCACTCCCTTCAGAACATTCCAACTTGTCAATGTGTTCTTGGACTCTGGTGCCTAAAATTGGACGGAGGGCTCTCAGTAAAGTCTTGACCTGGATATTATATGCCTATTTATACAGCCTAAAATTGTATTAAGTGCACCATCATCCATTTATTTCCACTGAAATTGATTGTATTAGTTTTGGCTCAGCTCTTCAATCTATCAAGGTCATATTTATTTATTTATTTATTTATTTATGTATTTACTATATTTATACCCCACCCTTCTCACCTCAAAGGGGACTCAGAGTGGCTTACAAACTATGGCAAAAATTCAATTCCACATCATACACACAATAAACACATCATTTTGAATTTTGATCGTGTCATGTGGAATATCTGCTACCCTACTAACCTAACTGACTGGTTGATAGTTCTTTGGTCCTCCCCACCCCTTCCTTTTAAAAGATGGGATAATATCTGTTTACTACTAATCTGCTGGGAACTCTCCTTTTCCTTTAGCACCTTTGGATGTAATTCATCATGTCATGAAGACTTTTATTCATTTGAAGTAGATATTGATGTATTGATAACTAACTATGGCCAAGTATGAAATAGCAAGGCCAGACACAGAGAAATGGGTTAAAGAAGCATCACTTTATATGACTTTTTTGTGACTTTATCTCTGATTTTTCAGTGTTTAGTCATTGTGCTGCTAGAAAGGCATTATCCAAGTCTTTATTCTGGCCTGGATGCAATATACTATCTCAATGGTGTCCTTGCTGTTTCCCTCCCCATTGGTCTTAATTTCCTTTTGATGCCTCAAGTCATGTATCTGCTCTTGAATGTACACATCCTTGACATTGAATGCTAGTCCCCCCTTTCTTTGACTCATTTTTTAAATATTCTATACCCAATCATTGTTACATTCCATCATTAAACTTATGCCACCAGGTTTCAAGTCATATTTGCTTTCTTGTGATATAATTTCAAGTTCATCTTGTTTATTTCTTAAGCTCTGTGAATTAGCAAATAGGCATCTAAGACCATGGGCCACTCTCTCCAGCTGATATCTTTTGTTTTCCTAAGCAGTTTGGAGTTCCAGCACTTTTTACTCATTTTTTTCTGTTTCATTGATGCTTTTGTCCCCATTTTCCTCTGTATCATTGATGTTATAATAATTGGTGTCCACCAGCCTTCTAAAAGATACTCTCCCTTCCCCACATAATTCAACTAAGACTATTAACTGAGGATAACAATGCAGATATATTTTTTGAATATTTTGTGTACATGTCTCTTTTAAATGTGAGAGTTATTTAGACATCAAGTTTTTGCAAACACTTTCTTCCTTGAATGTTTCATGCCTTTACATTTTCTCTATCACTCTTATTTTGTTTTATTAGAACAGTTCTTAATTAAAATAACAGCAGCATATTTATTTTCAGATGATCACTCCAGGGTGAGGCTCCAGTTGCTGGATGGAGATCCCCATTCAGACTACATAAATGCCAATTATATAGATGTAAGTTGAATGAAATCATTGCCATTGTTTTTAAAGGATGCATAATGAGCAGGCTGCATTATAGATATATGTTGTATAAAGTCTAAGTCATCTCCCCATTGCAGCTATAGTGATTTTCTGATTTTCTTACAAAAGTTTTTAAATATTACTTTTTGGACTGCAGATTCCATTGGACTTGTGAACTAGAATCATGGGAGTTATCCCCCCAAAATACATGAATTTTCCATCTTTTTCCCAATAATGATGATTGGGAAATGGAAGGGTCATTGCTCAATGGAAGAGTTCATGATTTGTATGCAGAAGGTTCAAGATTCCATAGGATGTTCTGTTAAAATGAACAGATGCCAGGTGATGGAAAAGACAGTATAGAGCACCTTTTAGTTAACACAGACAATATTGTCCAAGATGGTATAAAGCCTATGTTTCTGTCATTGACCAAAGGACTTCCATATGCAAAATCTGCAATGTACCAAGAATGTGCCAGATTTCACTGAACCAGTCAAATTAGCAAGGAACTGCTGTTCACTTCTATAGTCATGAAATGTTGGCATGGCAAAAAAATAAAACATAAGCAATGGGAGATGAAGAAAGTGGGAGGAGAGGAATCTTTGGATTCAGCATGAATATGCCAGATTCAAGGCTGCTCCAGGACACAATAACACCAGTCTAAACAGTGTAAATAAGCCTCGAGAAGACACGTAGAAGCAGGAATTCAGTATCTCTTTTGACTGGGAATTCAATGGTGTATACCCAACTAAGTGTAAAGAAACCTAACATTTTAAAGCTCTCTGAGCATGCGTGTTGAGAGAAAAATACAGACATCAGTTTAAACATTCTTCACCTCACTAATTTAGACCTGTGGGATTCATTACAAATAAAAGCTATATTAAGTGTTAGCATATCATTTGACAGCATTCTTATTTCTAACGCAAGCCTCTTTAATCCTTAATTATATCAAAATCTTTTTAGATGATGCTTCAGTTCAGGGAACGGGAAACCATATGTAATAGAGTACATCCCATACGGTTTTAAAAATCAATGGTGCCTGGTTCAGTTTTGACAAGAAACAGATGTGTGTTTTTCAGATGAGGGGACACAGATTTCTTCATATTTATTCCATTAAGGAATAAGTAAGGTTTCCTTAAGTGAAAGCCATTTTGATAGAGATTCTAGAAATATGTCACATTCTTCATTTTTGGGGAAATAAAATATATCCCTTATAATTTAATGGAAAATTATAGGAAATCCTGCCATGAATAATCCAACTAAATAAATGCTTTATAGACAAATGTTTGTTCCACTTTGGACTGTTCTCAAATGGTGTGCTATGGCAGCCTTGTTTGAAGGTTTTGTTTTTTTAAGCCAGATGGGAAAGTAAATTGTAATATCCCCAGCTCAGATTAGAGTTTTGGCAGCCTGCTGATGGGGAACTGGGCAATTTTCCAGTTTATTGAGATCCATGCCTTGTTTTTTTCTTCTTTTCAGGGATATCATCGGCCTCACCATTACATTGCAACACAAGGTAAATAATAGAATAGCTAGTATGTGGCTCAGTGACATGCTATAAAGATTATTTCAAAAGTAATTTTTAAACATTTTTAAAAGAGCAATATACAACATGCTGACAAGGATCAAGCAATAAGTTCCCAAGTATTTTTTTAAGTACATGTTTATTTTATGTGTAATGGTTAATTTTTTGTGTTGTCCAGGTTGTGTATGTTCCTTCTCCTTACCTCAAAAAGGAATTTGTCTTCACACAACACACAGTATAGGCTGCCCCCCTCCAAAAATTATCACACTTTAACTTTTTGTTTTGTTTTGAATCATGCTGGGAACAAAAAAACTTGTTCTGAGCAAAAGTTTCCCACTGCTGAATGGAATACAAACTCTAAGCTTGCAGCAATGGAAGGAATTGGCAAGGTTTGGGAGGAAAAGTGGTGCATTGTAAAGGTAGCAAAAAAGCAAGAGAGTGAACATCTAATCATGGTTGCCCTGGTTGAATTGGGACAATTTCAGAACATGGTATTATCAGGTAAATTTTTTCAAGTAATCAGATGCAGGTGAAAATGGTGCTAGAACACAGCCAAACACCCCAGAAAGCACACAACACTCCAATCACCAAATAATTAGGGTGATTTTTAAAACATCGATTTCAAGTCTATTTAGTAACATAGCTTGGTGTATGTCTTCCTTTGGCTGAGGAGTCATTTTTTTCTGTCATACTCTCCAATGTTATTGTGGACTGAATTGTGCATGGTTAACTCTATCTGCAGTACTTACTGCATTACCACCACTGCTTGGATTCAACATCAGGTTTCAGGAACTACCACTTTGAATAACAATTTGTATCCTTTATGAAACATGGCATATTTGTAGCAGAGACAGAAAATGAATTGTACTGCAATCATCTTTTGTCCTTTTTGTCACATATTTTGTGCTCTTCAGGACCCATGCAAGAGACAGTGAAGGATTTTTGGAGGATGATCTGGCAGGAGAACTCAGCAAGTGTCGTCATGGTCACCAACCTGGTAGAAGTAGGCAGGGTATGATGATAGTTGCTGGGAGCATTCATTCATATGTTGTGAATTATGTCATTTTTGCATTGGTTCATTCCTGTATCTGTGCCATCCCATTTCAACACAATTCTGCATTTTTTAAAAAAATGTTTCTAGGAAACTGTTTTGATAAATACTATTTCAAATATATTTACAACATATTTTACCAGAAAATTCGGATTCATAAACACATGCATTTTCAAAGTTTAATATTCAGCAGCAGAAGAAGAAAAACTTTATTTTTCTACCCCGCCTCCATCTCCCCTAAGTGACTCGGGGCAGCTTACATGGGGCCAAGCCCAGGCAAAATACAATTAAAAACAGAACAATAACAAATTAAAATAGCATAAAACAGCATAACAGTAATAAACAAGCATCAAGCAACAGCAGACTAATTTTTGTGTGGGGAAGAAGGCCACTATGCGCACTGGTTAAAGGATAAAGTGGTTCAATAAGATGGATAGAAATGAATAATAGCATAGGAAATAGCGTGGAAACAGAGAAATTAAACAGGATCACAGCTTAACTTAACAATATATATAGTAATGTAATATAGGAATACTATATATATTTTACTCCACTTACTGCAAACACCTGCTAGCAGAATCCTAGATCTAGTCTGTATTCAATGGGTAACTGCAATGCAGTTTGTGCATGTACCATCTTGAGCCACTGTCTTTACTTTTCTGTTCTGTAACAAAACAATATGCACATAAACACATATGTTAGACCTCCCCCACAGAGTGGAATGATAGCTGCTGATGTGGGCTGTCTCATTCAGTAGAACAATGTCTTCTGCTAGTGCATATAGGTGACCACTTGCAAAACTGGCAAATTCAACAGAACTCTTCTAGCACCTGATTTTCGTCCATGGACAATACGCATGATTTTGTGTAGTGTTGAAGCCTTTCATTAGAAGCCTTCAATAAATGTATAACTATTTTATTAACATTTTGAACCAGTGATTCAAAATTCAATAAATAGAAAGTCTACATGTTATTTATTTATTTATTTATTTATTTGTCGTGTCAGAACAACCAGTCTAACAGAACAAAGCAAACAAACAGAAAAATACACAACTTGTGAGTTTGGTAGCTGGTTAAATGTCCTTTGACCAGTATCTGGCCACTTGGAGTGCTTCCGGTGTTGCTGCAAGAAGGTCCTCCATTGTGCATGTGGCAGGGCTCAGGTTGCATTGCAGCAGGTGGTCGGTGGTTTGTTCTTCTCCACACTCGCATGTCGAGGATTCTACTTTGTAGCCCCATTTCTGAAGGTTGGCTCTGCATCTCGTGGTGCCAGAGCGCAGTCTGTTCAATGCCTTCCAAGTTGCCCAGTCTTCTGTGTGCCCAGGAGGGAGTCTCTCATTTGGTATCAGCCATTGGTTGAGGTGCTGGGTTTGAGCCTGCCACTTTTGGACTCTCGCTTGCTGAGGTGTTCCAGCGAGTGTCTCTGTAGATCTTAGAAAACTATGTCTAGATTTAAGTCGTTGGCGTGCTGGCTGATACCCAAACAGGGGATGAGCTGGAGATGTCTCTGCCTTGGTCCTTTCACTATTGGCTGCTACTTCCCGGCGGATGTCAGGTGGTGCAATACCGGCTAAGCAGTGTAATTTCTCCAGTGGTGTAGGGCTCAGACACCCCGTGATAATGCGGCATGTCTCATTAAGAGCCACATCCACTGTTTTAGTGTGGTGAGATGTGTTCCACACTGGGCATGCATACTCAGCAGCAGAGTAGCACAGCGCAAGGGCAGATGTCTTCACTGTGTCTGGTTGTGATCCCAGTTGTGCCAGTAAGCTTTCGTATGATATTGTTTCTAGCACCCACTTTTTCCTTGATATTCAAGCACTGCTTCTTATAAGTCAGAGCACAGTCCAGGGTGACTCCCAGGTATTTGGGTGCGCTGCAATGCTCCAGTGGGATTCCTTCCCAGGTAATCCTCAGAGCTCGGGATGCTTGTCTGTTCTTAAGGTGAAAAGCACATGTCTGTGTTTTAGATGGATTAGGGATCAGCTGGTTTTCCCTGTAGTAGGCAGTAAGAGCACCTAGAGCTTCGGAGAGCTTCTGTTCTACAGTCTCAAAGCTCCCTGCTTGAGCAGTAATGGCACGATCATCAGCATAGATGAAGCTCTCTGTCCCTTCTGGCAGTGGCTGGTCATTTGTGTAGATGTTGAACATGGATGGAGCGAGCACGCTCCCCTGAGGCAGGCCGTTCTTCTGTTTCCGCCATCTGCTTCTCTGGCCCTGAACTCAACAAAAAGCTCCTGTTTTGTAGCAGGTTTCCTATGAGGCGGGTGAGGTGGTAGTCCTTTGTGATATTATACATTTTTCTCAGGAGGAGGCGGTGGTTCACAGTATCATAGGCTGCTGACAGGTCTATGAAGACAGCTCCTGTGATCTGCTGCCTTTCAAAGCCATCTTCTATGTGCTGAGTCAGGTTCAGCACTTGCGATGTGCAGCTTTTGCCTTTTCTGAAGCCAGCTTGCTGTGGGATCAGACAGGGGTCTATTTTTCCATAATTCTATGCAAAATAAGTCTCTCCAGAACGTTGTAGAGGTGGCACAGCAGGGAGATTGGTCTGTAGCTTTTTGGGTCATTGCGGTCTTTGCCTGGCTTCAAGATGGCGATGACTCTTGCTTTCCTCCAGATTTTGGGGATCTGACAGGATGCCGTGCAGTTGTTCATCAGCTCCAGCAGCCAGCGCCTTGCTTTGGGACCAAAGTTCTTGATTTGTTCCATCCGTAGGTCATCCAGGCCAGCTGCTTTGCCATTTTTACATTTATTGAGAGCCATGTCCAATTCAATAGATGTAAAGGGTTCATGGAGGTTGTTGTTCTCAATCTCTGGTTGCCTGGCTATTGGTTTCTTTCCTACTTTGGTGGCAAAGTTGGGTTTCCCATTCTTCAAGAGTTGGTGTGCTATCTGATCTGCCTTTATGTTGGCATGGGTATTAGTTTGTGAGGGGTCATTGCTCAACCGTCTCAGTAGCCTCCAGGCCTTCTGGCTGCTCCTGCCCATGTCGACCTCTGTGATCAGTTTGATCCACTGTTCTTTCTTGGCTTCAGAGATGGAGGACACAATGCTCTGCGCTGCCTGGAGGGTTTGCTCACTAAATGGGTCTTCGTTGTGGAGCCTGTAATAGTTTTCCAACAAGGCAGCTGTTTCAGGGTAATGCCCTGAAGGTAGTTGGTTCTGCAGCCTCTTGGTATCGAGGCCCGTGAGCAGGTTTTCACAATTTCAATAAAGTGCTCGTATTCCTCAGGGATTGGCGCGGCCGATGTGATCATGTCATCTAACATGTCTGAGAATTTAGTCCAATCTGCCTTTCTGAAGTTGAATCTTCGTTTAAATCGAACTTCCTGAGGCCTTATTGTTGGGAACAGTTGGCATACTATTGGTCGGTGCTGTGTGTTTGGGATTGGTGGTCCCACTGATTTGGTGCATTGCTGTACGATGCTGTCGCTCACAAATAGGAGGTCTGGGTTGTAGCCTCGGTGCCATCTCCCGCTGTTGTAGGATGGTGGGAGCTTGCTATCATGGATGAGTGATAGTTTGTGCAGTTCAGACCAGGACAGGACAGCCTCTCCATTTCTGTCCTCTTGGGCATAGCCCCATACGTGGCTATGGCTGTTGAAGTCACCAATTACTACCGCCCTTTGGTGCCTGTCAAAGTTCTCGGGGGAGGAGAAGCAGAACTCTTCATTTGGGGGCTTGTACACAGAGGTGATGGTGATGTTATTAAGCTCTACTGTTATAACCTCTATATTGTTTTCTTCAGTGTTGTGGGCACTGCTGACTTGGAGGCCTGGTTTGACAAAGACGGCGCTTCCATACTGCGCATGTGGTCTTTCTGCTACTAAGACCATTCCTGGAACTTTGGGTCGTTTCTGTTGTTCATCCCTGTGTGTTTCTTGGACACACAGCACATCGCATTTCTTATCTCGGCACAGTTCATAGAGCAGTTGCTCTTTGGCAGCTGACATGCCTTCGATATTGATTGAGATTATTGTCATGGTTGGTCCTGAAAAGGACCGTTGGTTGTTTTGCTTGCTTGCATGCATGCTGGTCTCTTCTGTGGCGAGATAATCTGCCGTCTACGAAGACGTTGCCCAGGGGACGCCCGGATGTCTTGCAATCCTGCGAGGAGGCTTCTCTCATGTCCCCCTACATGTTCATTCTGGAGTTGCCTATCAGATTAAAGTTGAATCCATGTTGCCTTGCTACCATGTAACAATTTATCACCATTCATCTTTTCCAAATTTCCAATCTCTTGCAAGAGTGGAGTAGTCCATGGCTTACCATGGTTCAAACTTCCAAGTCTTCATAAAACTTGAAAAATCATGATTTTTCTTTGAAGCATCTCCATTAAAGCAGCTCCATCCACTGACTTCAGAAATCCTTTCATATAATATCTTTACTATGTCAGTGTTTGAGTTTCATTGTGTACTAAACTCAAACTAACAAACTTGAGAATAGATTCATGAGAGAGACAGTTCCATTGGGATCTTTGCAAAAAGTCCATTTCAGAATGAACCGGCCGGTGTATACTCATATAATTCTCATGTATAAATATGTGAGAGGAAGCCACAGGGAGGAGGGAGCAAGCTTGTTTTCTGCTTCCTTGGAGACTAGGACGCGGAACAATGGCTTCAAACTACAAGAGAGGAGATTCCATCTGAACACGAGGAAGAACTTCCTGACTGTGAGAGCTGTTCAGCAGTGGAACTCTCTGCCCTGGAGTGTGGTGGAGGCTCCTTCTTTGGAAGCTTTTAAACAGAGGCTGGATGGCCATCTGTCAGGGGTGATTTGAATGCAATATTCCTGCTTCTTGGCAGGGGGTTGGACTGGATGGCCCATGAGGTCTCTTCCAACTCTTTGATTCTATGATTCTATGATTCTATAATTCCAATTGAACTACATTGAACTGGATTATATGAGTCTACACTGCCATATAATCCAGATCAGTGCAGTTGATCTGCATTCTGAAACTGCATTTTGTGGCAGTGTAGATGAGGCCTGAGTGAATCTTTCAAGAAACTTGTGAATGACCAGTTTGTTGACAAGAGCATTCAAACTAAGCAGAAACTATAAAGCACCCAGTTAAATCTACAGAAAGGAAAAGGCATGTCTGATGATGCTCAAAAGAGGGTCTGCTTTATTAGTAGAAATGCCTAATATCTTTCTGCAGATGGGTACTCTACATGGGGGTATTTACAGCCACAGAAGAACATCACTTAAATAGATACTATTTTGTGTAAAACCATTACAACATTTGTACATTGCCTATAGCTTGATCATGGCTATCTAAATTCAGATTTCTAAATTCCAAAACCATTTACTGAGCAAGTGAAACCTATCAAAAAGGGCTAATAAGGATAATTTTAGGAAGAGGATAATTTCATAATGATTCAGCCAAATCCATTAGACTGTATGTTTGACATTCAGGCTAATTGTTCTATATTGAGTAGATAAATTAGTTCTTGGTCCTTATGTTCCAAGTTCAAAGTACCCTATTAGATATGGAGGGATGTAGAGAGCACCAATACTATTTTCAAATGTTGTAACACAAGCATGGAACTAATGCAAGATGAGTGAGGATATATTGAGAGTATCATGTTATAGGCCGATATGTTTTGAATTTTCACATAGACAAGGCATACAAAGTAAAAGTTTTCAGCTGTACATATTACAACAGTATTCACTTTCATTTCTTCTTTGTCTTAGGTGAAGTGTGTCAGATACTGGCCTGATGATACCGAAGTCTATGGTGATATCAAAGTCACCTTAATTGAGACAGAACCATTGGCAGAGTATGTCATACGCACTTTTACAGTCCAAAAGGTAAACATATGTTGACTTTCCTTTCACTCTCAGATGATTTATCTTGCCAATAAGTCAAATTCTCCCTATAATTCATTCTGATTAATGATGGGTAAATATGCAGTCACCAGTTCTATTTATTGATGTACATAAATTCATGAAGGGTAAGACAAGCAATAGCTATTAGTCATAGGAGCAAAGACAGTAGTTCACATCTTATTGTGTGAAACTTTTGTGCAATGCATTGCAATATGACTAGTTTGACCTTACTGTAAAAATAGAATCCTTTTGACCTTGTAATTATTGCCATGTATTCAATTGCTAGCAGTGGTGATTCAGCATTACTAAGGTGACAGGACCTTTCGTTTCACTGGCATCCAGTGATTCCTACCTTGGTGGGTCAGTGATTAACCATTGCTGAGGAACATTGGCAGAAGAACACTATTTCTGTCATGTTCTGCTAGTTGTGAGCCAGAAGTGTGAATATATATATATATATATATATATATATATATATATATATATATAAGATACAATGTCTGTTCAGGTTAGCATTCATCAACTGAGGATAGTGATAATCTTAAAAACTCTTTCTCTTATGCATATGCTTCACAAACATAAGTCTCCGGTCAGACAATGAAAAAACAGGATGTTGCATTAGATTTAGCAAGGATCCTTAATTCTTACAGTCCAATATATGATGGTAGGAATGGTTATTAATCAGGCATATACCTTTGAATAATATTGAACATGGCCAAAGTATTTAAATTAATTTTAAAAATTAAAATAATTTCATAATATAAAATCTTATCTTTTTTAATTAATGATATTTTTACATACTGATACAATTTATATGTAGCCTTTCTCCTACCAAGACATTCAAGGCATCTCCAATCATATAATTAAAAACATTTTTAAACAAAAGGGGGAAAAAACCTTTCAGCCAAAAGAGAAAAAGGAGAAATAATTTTAAAAATGGAGCAAAGGTGCAGTTTTTACAACTAAAGGATTTTCTAAATTGTAGTTCTACATGTTATTTTTGTTCCAGTGTTAGCTTTCTGTAACATGATGCCATATTAAAAGGCAGAGATAGCAACTCTAGTTAGAAACGAGAGATTTACCTTCGTAGTATTTTTTCCAACCCTATATAGTAAAAAGAGGTTGGTTGAAGTAGGAATGTTGTCATGTTTCCATCATAATTTTATACATAAAGTCTTAGTACTTATCAATTATAGTGCAATTGTAGTCCTTCTAGGTCCTGAGAGTGGAAATTTTCAATCTTTTCAGACCTAAAAAAAGTTTTTTTAAAAAAGCTTTAAAATATCCCAGTCACCATTTTGGAAGTGATGTACTAAGAAGTAATTTTCCCTAAAGTCATCCAATGGTATTTTAATTCTTTTTTGGCCTTCTAACATCCAGGAAAAAAGTGTGTGTGTGTGTATTTTGAATGTGGTTAAGTTGAAATGTATAGCTACTCTCAGTATAAAATAAATACTGTAAGTAAAGAAATAGCTATGTAGGTGCCAGGAATGAGAAACAAAATTATTGTTATTTCAGTATGGTGGAAAATAGAGGCTTTCCTCTCTTCCTCAGAAAGGCTATCATGAAATCCGAGAGATTCGGCAGTTCCACTTCACCAGCTGGCCAGATCATGGGGTTCCTTGTTATGCCACAGGCCTCTTAGGTTTTGTTCGACAAGTGAAGTTTCTGAATCCACCGGAGGCAGGACCTATTGTTGTTCACTGCAGGTATGCAGCTTGTTCTATCTGTCATTTCTTTTCATCAATTTTCTCCAGTTGTGCTTATTTCCCAAGCCCAGCAGGCATCCTGTTCTCTTGTCCTGTAGGAATGACTGTTTGCAGGCAGAATCCACCACATATCACACCTGACACTGTTTATATGCAAAATTCAGCATGGCATAACTATATAGAATGTATTGGTGCTCCCACGATGTTAGTGCTATCACAAATTTGCACCATAGGTTTTGGATTGTGTTTTGCAGTGCACCAGAATCTGCAATGTACCATGAACTAGACTTGCAAAACATTTTTGAAAGAATGCTTTATGGGCTACAAGGAAGGAAAAGTCATTTGTAAATATTTTACAAAGATCCACAAATGATTTATTTGTTTGTTTATATCCCACTTTGATCCCATCATGGAACCCAAGGTGATTTTTTAAACAAATCTAACAAAACTCCTTTGAACATCTTTCACTATGAAAATCCTATAATGGAACAACATAAAATAAAACAATGAGAAAGCAGTCAATGGGTTAGGAGCAAGTACAAGTGTTAGCTCTGCGGCTAATGATGCCAAAAGGACATTCAGTTGTTGATATGACAGATGCACAAGGAAAGTCTTTACAATATGGAACGCAAGTAGTATCAATCAGGGGATGCTGGACATAGTAAAACAAGAAATTGAACATTTTAGTACTTTGTGTGAATAATCTAAAGTGGACAGAAATGAGACACATTGAGTTAGATAATTACAGTATTTTCTCAAAAAATGAAAATTGAAGAAGAAATTGGGTGATATTAATAGTGGTAAGAAATGTAGCAAAAACTGTCAAAGTGCAAAAGTCTGGCTGAATCATATCAATAATACTTGAGAAGAACCTAAAGATATAAGCACAACACAGGTTTATGTCCCAACTACAGAGACAAAAGTGGAAGAAATTGAAACATTCTGCAATGAACGCCAGAAGGAAATTGATCACACACCCAAACAGGACTTAGAGTTTCAAAGTAGGAAACAGAACAAAATAAAAGATTATAAGAAACCATGGCAGTGTGTGAACGTTGTGGGGAAGGGGCAAGATATTGCATTCATTGTGAATCTGCAATACTGAGGATATTTTATCTTTATTTATAACCTTCCAGAGTGATGAGGTCCTTTCTGTTCTGTCTCACCAATAGTGGTAATATGAAGTGGGAGGATATGAGAGAGGACTTACTCAGTTATGACATAACAATTGTGAAAAGCCCTCTTCTTGAACATCCAACTAGCACCAACATGTAGTTTCTTTCTAATGGCAAACTCAATATGGCTTTCTGTTAAAGTCTTTGGATACTAATTTCCTTCCAAGTTCACATTTGTGTGCCTTTGCATTGTGTGTGAAGGTGTTTTAATGACCATTTTGTTTAAAATGTGCTTATCTTGTTTAATTATTTATTGTTTTAATTTGAAATATCTTACATTGTTTACATTTTATGCCACCCTATGAGTCCACAGTAAATGACATGACATAAATATTTTTACAATAGCAACAGTAATAGCAACAACAACATTATTTCAGACCAGGTTCACCAAAGGCAAAGAATTTGAGTACAGCTTTGGCCTAACCAGACTTGACTCTTATGAACTTTCGCTAACTGGGTATGTTGTTTCTAATGAGGTCTAAAAGCAAATTTTCCCTAAGATGTAACTCTCCTAGTAATCCAGTATAGTGTTCAGCTATTGTATATGTATATGTTTGTATGTATATAGGTTACATCTACTCAATTTGCAGTGAATATTTGAACTTAAATATTTAGTAACAATTGCAATTATTTTTCATAAAGTGTCTGATCTATATGACCAGTTTAATAACAGATTATAATTTTCAGTTTGATTAGTGGTTTTTTGTTGTATGTTAAACATATTAAAATATTCAGTATGAGAGTTTACTTTAAATGCAATGTTAAAGGAGAAATCTCCCTGCTATTTGCAGCTATTTGCATATAATTTGCATTGGGTATATCCCAATATTGTGAGGCACTTACCTGTAATTTTCTACTTTGGAATAGAAATCAAGAGATGCAGCTTTGCAAAAAAAAGTGCAACCTTGAAGTAGGCATGGCAGGTCCTTGCAACTGCTCCAATCTTTTCGCCCTTTTTATGATTTTGACAGCTAGTAGCCCTGTTGAACCATAATATGTATTTTTCTTCTTAATTTTAATAACCTAATAATATTTTCTTCCCTTTTAAAAAATATAAATGGCCAGTCTGAAGTAGTAATCACCAAATTTGGTGGATAAAGTATCACAGCCATTCAATATTTATAAAGTGCAAAGTTTCTCTAAATACAGAAAACTCATTGCTCTAAATTCAAAACATGCACACTATATATTTTTAAAGGGTGGTGGAAGAAAGTTGAGAAAATGCTCTATATCAGGCATGGGCAAACTTGGGCCCTACAGGTGTTTTGGACTTCAACTTCTACAATTCCTAACAGTCTACCTGCTGTTAGGAATTGTGGAAATTGAAGTTCAAAATGCCTGGAGGACTCAAGTTTGCCCATGCCTGTGCTATATTAATTAGGACAGAATTCCCTTTGAGTTGTTCATTAGTTTAGAGCAGGGGTCCTCAAACCTTTTAAACAGAGGGCCAGGCCACAGTCCATCAAAGTATTAGAGAGCCGGATTATAATTTGAAAAAAAAAACAAACATGAATGAATTCTGATGCACACTGCACATATCTTATTTGTAGTGCAAAAGAACACATAAAAACAATACAATAATTAAAATGAAGATCAATTTTAACAAATATAAACTTATTAGTATTTCAGTGGGAAGTGTGGGCCTGTTTTTGGCTGATGAGATAAGATTGTTGTTGTTGTTGTTGTGTGCTTTCAAGTCGTTTCAGACTTAGGTTGACCCTGAGTGAGGGTCTGGTAAATAACCTTGGAGGGCTGCATCCAGCCCCCGGGCCTTAGTTTGAGGACCCCTGGTCTAGAATATTAATTCATGGCTATCTACATTTCCTTGCTTTGCCACAGTTGCTTACATCTGAATGCTCTCCAGTCTCCCACTTTTTATGGGTTAAATATTTCTCAGAAGGAGTTTGTACAAGGCTTATGTTCAGAGGCAAGACATTTATTAAGTTAAAACTGAGCTTCTGTGCATAGTAGCAGCAAGTAAGACCACTGCCAAGGGCTGTGGGACAGTCAAAGGTATAAGCAGGATTGGTAGCATGTCTATCAATCACTGCCACGCAAGCGTACAGTTGCTAGCAAGTTGATTTTCCCTGATGGAAACTGCTGACCTTAGCTGGGATGACTGGCTAGTCAGTAAATATGTTTATGTTGCTTTCCACCTCCCAGCTATTACCATTTCCCACCTGTTGCCCAATATAGAATTGGTTTTTAGTCAGTCAGTCAGTAGCCTTTATTTCGGTCAACAAACCATCGGCTAAGTCAAGTGAAAGTAGAATGATGAAATACAACAATTAACAATTAATAACATCACATTTGGCTTATAATTAATAAAAACAAGTATCACCATTCGCTATCGGATGAATGGCTGTCTATATAATCTAAAACAGGAACTGACTGCAAGTTAATAATAAGTCCCCCGAGTACTCTTTGTTACACTTAGCCTTTACAGGTTATTCATGAAGCACTTGCGGCTTTTTGCCGCTGCAAACAGAAATTTGGCCACCTGTTCCGTTACCCTTTTATCAAGATCAGACAGTAAATAAGTGCAGTACCAACTTAGGGATCTTCCTGGCCACTTGGTGAGTAGAGGGGATATTAACCTTAGTCTATCATCCTTGTAAATTGTGCAAATAAAAAGTACATGTGTTACAGTTTCAATTTTACCCTCCCCGCATGGGCAAACTCTGTGTTCGTAATCAGTCCCTTTGTATCTACCCTCTAGTATGGCTGATTTGAGGGCATTGAATCTGGCCCAACTGAAAGCAAGGCGAAATTTTGGGATGTTTAAATTTTCTAAGTATTTGGCACCTCCCAAAGAATTAAATGTTAGGCCTAAACTCAATGGAGAGCATGTGGAGCGCGCCAGAGAGTTTGCTTTACTAGCAACTAGCAGTGGATGAATAGATACCAGATAATTCCAGAACTAAAAGCAATTCCCATGTTACAAACATCCAACTTACATAGGACTCCTAATTACAAATAGGCATTTGTTACAATAGGCAGTGAGAGAAAATCTGCCACTAGGAAGGGAAATTCACTCCTGTAAGAGCTATCATAGAAAATGGTGTCTCCACTTAAGCTTTATCACCAATCCTGTTATTCAGCAAGAATCCAAAATTTTCAAAATCCAACTGTCTCAGGGACAGAGAGTGAGGTGGGTTTTTTTATTTTTATTATTATTATTTTATTAATTTTCTGACACAATCTCATATATAATCAGAAAATATAAGTTCAGAAATAATGAAACATGTCTAGATCTGCATGTAGAGATGATTTTGGATATCTTTCAATTTACGATAATTGGGTTTTTGCAGTTGTCCATGCCTGTGTATGTAAAATAGTCAGAAAGCTCTAGTCATAAGAGAGTACTTTGTTGTCTGCTCCCATTCTTATGGTTTTTTTTATTGATGTAATATCAAAATGTATTTGGGCATACTCTGAAACCATCTTGATCATGAAGATATATTTCTTGCCTTGTAAGGAATTTCCCAAAAAAAAATACTTTGGCATTTATTTATTTTTGCATATGATATGTGTGGGGGGTGGGGAGAATAGCTGATGGCACTATTGCTGTTAGCTAGATGGAAACAGTTCTAGTTAGGAATAGATTGCATGGATTTTCCTTTGAAAGTGCCTTAAACTCGAGTGAATGGTAAAATAAGTTATACTTACTTTGTACAAGTTGCCATCTACATACAGAGGTGAAGTTTTTTGAACAGGAGTCCAAACAGCAAAACAAATGTCGCAGAGGTGTTTACCCTTCCTTATGCCATGCAAAACTTTTAAAAATGATTGGACTTTAAAAATTTACTCATTCTGACTTACATACAAATTCAGATTAAGAACAAACCTTCACAACCTGGGGACTGTATAACCAGTCTTACACCATTAGTACTCCTTGACAAGCTTGATTTATATTTGCTGTAGGAGCCTTCTAATTTTGACCAGAATAGAACAGAATGTGCCAGTCAAGCAAAATTATCCATATGATTGCATTGGTTGTGAGTAGCACTATCACCACACATCTCTAGGAGCCCTAGACTGGCCCTATCACTGTATGAAGTAACACAGTTGTCTCATGCAGTAGCCATGTTTTACCATCTCCAGTAGTGAGGTCTGTTGTACATAAACAGGGAAGGGGGCCAGCTTATGCTTTGCCTTGAACAGCAAAATATCTAGGGCCAACCTTTCAAAAAAGCTACTGAAAACGCACCTTTGCACTTTGGCATATGGGGAGGAGGAGGATTAGGACACTTTAGCAACACCATTGGAAAGCAGGCTTGCCTATCTGGACTGTGCGGCCATTATGATACAGTTAACCACTATAACAGCCAGTGCTTCACCAATTTTTAATAGTGTTAACTATTTGAGATGTCTTATTGATGACTATGATTTTAAAAATACGTTTTTATTGATTCATTGTTCTATGTCTTTATTTTGAGATTTAATTTTATTTGAGTAGTATAATGCAGATATTATTTTGTATTAAGTTCTATTGCTGTAATGTTTGATATATGTCAGGCATTGAATGTTTGCCTCTGTATGTGTAAAATACCCTGAGTCCCCCTGGGGAGATAGGACAGTCTAAAAATAAAGATTATTATTATTATTATGCAGAAACAGCTTGCAGTTTCTCAAGTTGCTTCTGACACGAAAAATATTATTGTTGCTAGTGTTATTGTTATTGTTATTATAATTATTTATTTAAGAATCCACATTCCTACAGGTTTGATGAGTTGAATCACTGCTCTCAGTGCCATGGAAAATGCCTTTTTCTCTTCACTGAATGTTGGGGATAGTTTGTTTTAAAGGGGCCTTAATAATCTCAGTTATTCAAGACAATGAGATGTCCTCTTTGAAACCAGCTTGTGACCTCAACCTGTATGATAGGGAAAAAAATCATTGGTCAAAGTTCATAATGAAAGTTGAGATTTCAGCTACCAAGTTTTGTCATCAAATATATCCCTCCTTCAAGAAGTTCTTTTTGAGTCATCTTATTTCTTCACTTACCAGAATAACTGAATTCTGTATCTGCTGTTTCCGTGTCTGCAGACATATATACATGGCTGTTTTAATTTAAGGTATAAAAGAAAGTTTAATCATAATCTTGTTATTTTGTCTTTTCTCTGTCTCAATCTCCCCTTCTCTTTTAATCTGAGATTTCCTCTCCTTTCCCTCCTTTCCCTCCCAAATGAGCTATGGTTGAACAGCAATAATGCCCTTGTCTCTGGGGCAAAGAGGGACTAATGAAGGAAGACAGCTGCATTTGCAACTTTCATTCCCCCTCCTGGTCCTACTGTTCTGCCTTTTCATGGCCCATTAATTGAAGCCTTGTTCTTCTTTCCAGTGCTGGTGCTGGGAGGACAGGGTGCTTTATTGCCATTGACATCATGTTGGACATGGCAGAGAATGAAGGTGTGGTGGACATATTTAACTGTGTGAGGGAACTGCGGTCCCAGAGGGTCAACTTGGTGCAGACAGAGGTAACTGTGAGAACATGTCTTTTTGTTTGTCGATCCATTCTCAAGTGACAATGCAACCCTACCAAATGTCTGTTGACTACTTCATGAACGATAACATAGATATGTGAATATATGGAAGCAGTATGTGGCCAATTCATCTAGTTTTAATAGAATTACTAGTAAACAATATTTTTAAATGATTTTTAAAGAATACTTTTACGAAATTACAGATTTTTTGGGCCATCTTAGAAGAGGTATCCGTGATCTCACATAGAGAAGGGAGTTGTTTGTTAAGCTGGTTTTGAATGGAATATTATGTGCATGCATCAATTTAAAATGAACATAATACGCTTTAATAACCAGAATCATAATGTTTAATTCATAACTTAAAATGTAATATTAAGAGTCAGTTGCCCTCCAGCCCAAATGACAACATCAGACACACAAACTGGTAAAATAAGGCCACAACCTTTTTATCTCCAACTAGCATGGTTACCAATACATGTGTGAGTTTGTAGGTGGGAACCTGGTTAAGCCAAAGTTCCCAATCAGAGACTGGTTCATCCTAGTCAGGTACCATGAAGAGATCAGAAGGCCCCAAGGGATTCCCATAGAAATCTATCATTGGGTTGTCTGGGCACAATTTGGCCAGAGGGTTTTTTCCTTTGCTTTCATCAGAGGCTTCGGAGAGTGTCTTGTGCAAGGTCATCCAGTGGGTTTCTACGGCTGAGTAGAGAATTGAGCCCTAGTGTCAAGAGACATAGCCTAATGTTCAAACCACTAAACTGTGCTCAGTTTCTAACAGAAAAAGATCCTATTCAATTCTAAAAAGCTGACTGGAAATTCCCATTCTATGTAAGAGGTGGATGGGTGGAGAACAGAAAAGGCAGAGGGGCTTGATTCAGAACAGTGCTGCATTGGATAACTAAAATAAAGTGACTCAGTGACATTTGCAGTAGTCTCTGCCATTGAAAGACTATGGTAAATCGGACTATTTTCTCAGTACAAGTGGGAGACTACTTTGTTCCCAACTATCTGGTTATTATGGTGGACTGTGATTCATCCGACTGAGCCTTAATATACTTGTAAGTCTGTAATGCCACTATTTACCACCTCATAAGCAATTATTGGATTGAGGCAATGTTTATTTCGCTTATTGACCTGAGAACTCTGAGATGGCCTTTTGAAAGTTCAGTTACTAAAATGGGACATAGAAGATTGCACCTGAAGGAACTAGCTGTGATGGATGTTTAACTTCTTGCTTTGTAGGAGCAATACGTATTTGTTCATGATGCTATTCTGGAAGCATGTCTTTGTGGCAACACAGCCATCCCTGTTTGTGAATTCAGGTCCATCTATTACAACATCAGCAGACTCGATCCACAGACAAATTCCAGCCAAATAAAAGATGAATTTCAGGTAAATGCCAATATATCTGATGTTATAGGTTTGGGGTTCTTAGTCAGATTGTGTTTATCCCAGGCACAACTGAGCTCTGCTATCTCTCTTTTTATAAATTAACCACTGCAAATAGTTCTTTGTTTGCAGTTATTTTTGTATGAGAGACTTAAACTTGTCAAGTCTTCTCTTATTTTTATTCATTTGCAAGACTGTTAAAATGTTACAGTTCTATGAATTGGAGAATAGAGTGAACAAAGGGTGTTACATCTGCTACAGGGTTTTTAAAGTGCTAACTTGGAGGCAGCATTAAGGTTCCAAGGACATTTTCACTAATGCCTGCCTCAGGCTGTGGAACAAAAATGTAACCACACTGAACACAGTGTTCTGCTTTCATTCACCAAATTGTTTGCAAAATGTTTTATGTTGCTAGATTCACCTTGTCTCTTCTAAAAATGACATTATAAAGACAGAATGCGGACTTTCCCCCCTTGAATTGTTTACCATTGCCCATCTTAAAGGGTAATTAACATTTGGTTTATAGATATATGTTTTCTTTCTTCAGAGAAGCAAATTCATAGCTTCTGATATGTAGTTTTTGTGAAGAAGCAATCTTATAAAAAAGACACATTACAAGAACATAAGCTATTCTTTGTGGAATACCTTGCAAACAATACTCAAGCTCAAGGTTTTAAGAAAATGTAATATGCATCTCACAGAAGCTATTAGAGATTTCTATTCACTATCTCAGATTTTGGGGTCACCTCATACAACATATTACACAATATATATGGATCATGATACATATATAAAGTGTAATACCCATAGCATAATTGTCAATATTTTATTTATTTATTCTTATTAGTAACGATCTTAGCAGGATGAGCAGAAATTTGGATTACACGTTTTAGAAATGAACAAGCAAGTTGCTAACACTGGCTTCCATTTTAAAAAGTTTTCTGCTTTGCCAATATCACAGACTTGATTTAATAATACACAGTGGATCCCACAGTCTCATTTTGGCATAGATTATTATCTCTGGATTTTGGGGCAAAGTCCGATCTGGAAGTTTCCTTTAGCTACAGTAGATCACTATTTTGTACGCAAGGTACCAATGCTTCTGTTGTCATGAGAATTGAGTGTTTATTGGTTTTATTGATCTCCAAGCACATTCAAATTTCCAAGCACATTCAAATCTTCAAGTACACATTCAAGCTGTATATCTAGCACAGATATGGGATATCCCCAAGGCACCTTCTGTCCTTTAACATTTGCATCCATCCATTTTATGAGAAGGCATGGAATCCATTCTTTTCCATTTCCTGTGCTCTACCCCAGTTGCCAGGGGGTGGAATTGGTCAGCTTTCCTAGCTTTCTTCCAAATTAATTGGGCATTAGTTCACATTAATCAGCAACCCTTTGAACTCAGTACATAACTTGACATTTAACAGAGTTGTCTTAGAGAAACATATTGCTGTAAGAGTTCAAGAAAAGATAGACTAGGGGCATAACTCTGAAACAGAAGAGGGCAACTATCAAAGGCAAGAGGCTGTATTCCCACGAAACCAGAAAGAACCCTTAACCATAACAAAATTTCATCTCATGTCACTTCTATTGGGGGAAAAGGGCTTGTCTTGGACTGTGACACTCTTGTTTTTCATTCTCATAATATTTTCCATAATTTGTCCATTTATTGGTGTGATCTACCTAATTTCTGCTATTTTTCCTTGACTGGAACATGCTTCTGGTTTTTCCCTCATCACACTATTTTCTTGATTTTCACTTGGAAATATACACAATGTCCTATGTGGACTTTATTGTTTGAGAGGCATCTTCTGAGCCCTGTAAATGTTCAACTGCTGAGATATACTGTGCATTTTCTCATAATAAGTTTTAGGAGATATAAAAATGCTACTTCTGTTCAGTCCATTGAGATTTTCATTTCTGGTTATTGTTGACATAAATTTTGATGTATTCAATTTAGTTTATGCAGTATCGATTAATTATATAGGTGATATTCAGTCAATGATCCGAAGAAAAATCTAAAAATAGCTTTTAGAATATAGCTCAGTTTGGCAAATTTAATAGTATTTTTCAAACTGCTTAGCTTGACTCAACCTATCTGGTAATAAGATAACGGAGTCTGTACTGACCTCCTTCTGTGCATATTTGTTTAATAGGGCTGGGCGGTTTCGTTTCGTTAATTCATAATTCGTTAATAATTCATTAATTTTTTCAATTACAAAACAATAACGAACCATTCTGGAGCAATTATTAAAAAAACGAATTTTCAAAAACGTTTTGTAAATGCTTCATATTTCGATATTGTATTCATTTCGTTATTGTTTTGAGGTCGTTTTGTTATTATTTCCGCATGGGCCAGTTTTATGGTTTAATTAGTGAAAAAAAATTATAATATCACACCAACAGTCAACAACAGAGGGAGAGGGAAGCTTCAGAAGGTTTTGGAGGTTTTTTAGCGTATTTCGCGGTCACGTCCGCCATTAACGAATCGATTCGTTATTGTTTCGGAAATCGATTCGTTAATTTTTTCCCATTTACGAAATTTCGTAAATATCGAACTTTTTAAAAGGAAAATTTTGTAATTATTTTAAATATCGAAACAAAAAAACCCCCAAATACAAATCGATTTTAGAAACAAATTTTTCCGTTGTTACCCAGGCCTATTGTTTAATATAAATTTTGCATTTCAAAAATTCATTATGAATTCCATCACTCTGCTACATTACAACTACAATGTACACATTGTATATATGTCTGTCACATACAAAATGTTCATATTATTCTCATCTATTATTAATGGCATTTTAATAAAATGCTAATCAGAGGTCTAAATTGAGTCAGACACCTCAGTTTGATGACTGAAATGTTTTGTAGTAGGGATGCAAAAAGAAATGTACTAGATTTTTCTTTCCTGTGAAAATAGCAATTTTTAACCATCCAAGGCATACATCTTGCCCTGGAAAGACAGATATTTCCATTGTGTTTCAGATAAGAAAAACAACAACATTAATCTGAATGTGTGTGTGTGTGTGCATGTGTGTGTGCATGTGTATATATGTAAGTATATATGTATGCATAATGGGATTCAACGTGGCTATTACAATTTAGAATGCATACATTTGAAACTTGTGCACAAGCCCATGATAGTCAGTGTTATAAAATGTAAACATCTGGGAAATATGTACATAATTTTGCAACCCAGAACAGAACTAGGACAAAGGACAAAGTGAGAATGGGATTTGTAGTGCAGAACCCCCATAAATGTACATAAATGTGAATAAAAATAACTATATCCCCCCGAAAGACCACCCCCTCTAGGAATATCCAGCTTTTCTCTGTGGCTGATGTTTGCCGGAATTGATCATAGAGTCACACTGCAGGACATAGTGATTCCTAAGAGGATATATATTTGTTAAATCCATCTAGACTCAAATCTGCAAAAATAAAACATGCAAATGTGGAGCTGCAGATTGCACTTTTTTTTGCAAAAGTACTCTTGTAAATGTCAGACATTTGTTCATCATACCACATGGTTTTTCTCGCCTACATATCATGCACTTAACATGTTTAGTAACAGGATTGGTCATTGGGAGGTAAACAGAGCCTTAATTAGCAAGTGTGGTTCTGGGGCATGTATTTCTAAGGAGATTCTACTGGGGAAGATTTTAATACATTCCACCCTGGTATAAAGTTACTTCCAGTATGGACACTTAGTAAGCACTTGGAAAGTTGCAAATGGTAATTCTAAAGGATTTAATTCCTTCTAGCCATGCATCTGGTTAGGTTTATCTTTAAATTTACATTTGGAAAAAGGTCTTGCCATTGTTCAATGAATGGTACAAAGGCATCTTTAGTCTGTGTATGCAAATTGACAAAAATTGGCAAAATATATGAATCCATATCTGTCTCTGCTCTTGATTACAGACACTTAATATAGTTACACCTCGAGTACGACCAGAAGATTGCAGCATTGGGCTCTTGCCAAGAAACCATGACAAGAACCGCTGTATGGATGTACTCCCTTTGGATCGGTGCCTCCCCTTCCTTATCTCCGTTGATGGAGAATCAAGCAACTACATTAATGCTGCACTCATGGATGTAAGTAAAATTCACACCAAGGGCTTATTTTTCTCCAGAACTGGGTAGAAAACAGGCAGCTCTGGCCATCAACTTTTTATCTGGCATATCTACACTGACCACTTGACATGGATTGAAGGCAGCTCCAAATGTGCTTTCAAGGCTTTATAATGGGATAAGCAAAATTGCAGGATACTCTGAATTAAGCCACTTAATATGCTTCAGTGCACATAGCTGTAAACCATATCAATGGAAAAGCCAATTAAGGGATGGGGAGGAGCTGGAAATACTGTGGATCCTGGAACAAAATCAGAGCTGGCCTCTCTGGTTGGCATGTGTTCAGATTCATGTTTGCTTCACTGCTGTCCTGCCGCTTTTGTCAAACATTACATTGTCTGTGTAGATGCACCCACTGTCTCAACATCCCAGAGCCTTTTGTCCAATAGTTGGGCAGTGTTGGCCATCTATTTCTATTGTAATAATCTTGCACCCTCTAGGAAACTCAGCAAATATTACTCTGCTTAATTTTTATTCTGATATGTCTTCAAGCCAGCATGGTGTAGTGTTTTTAGAATTGGACTAGGATTCGGGATAACCATGTTTCAAATTAATGTTCAATCATGAGAATCCACTTGGTGACATCACACTCTCTGCATTTTAAAGGAAAGCAATGGTTAATCTCTGAACAAATCTTTCAAAGAAAGTCCTATGGAAGGCAATTTGAAAGCACAGAACAACAAGGTGTTGGGTTAAAGAGACTGTTTGCCCCAAATTTGTGGTTGAATAGGGCATTATTCATGTTTCCTCAATCCAAGTATAGTGTTCCACGTGCTACACAGTACTGATTGTGAAAAACATTGTGATTATTATTAAATGTCTGCCTCTGTATGTATGTATGTATGTATGGGGGGGGAGGGAAAGAGGAAGCAGTACCACAATAGTGACAGTTACTGGATCGTCTTCTTCTTAGCTATAAAGAAGGAATTTAAAAATACTTGCATAATACCCACCCTTTATAAGGCCCCTTCTACATTGCCATATAAGGCAGTTTGAAATTGCATTATATGGTTGGTGTAGACTCATATAATGTACTTGAATGCCATTAAACTGCATTATATAGGTTTATGCTGGCCATACATTGCAGTTTCAAACTGCATTTTATGGCAGTGTAGATAGGGCCTAGGAAAGTGTATCTCAGTGCATCTTGAGAAAATGGTCGAGCATGAGATTTTTTGCATTTGTGAACTTTTTTTGTGAAAGCAAAACAGATTACTATATACTGATATGGATTGAAAATAGGCTTTTCCGTGCATTTTACTTGTCTTCCATTAGTCTACAGTACTTAGATGTATTTTAAAAAAAGATTTGACTATTTAAAAGACCACTTTCTGTAATTCAATGGATGCTAACTCCTACAATTAGGTAGGATGCAGTCAAGGTACCCTTTCCAAGGTGATTACAAAATGTAACAGCACAATGGAGGGAAAAAATATCCACTGGTATGTGTCCTTCTTCATTTTGTTCTGCTAACACTGAAATTCTCTTCTGTGCATGTTATGTCATATCTTTCAGCTGTTTTTTGTACACTTGGTATTGTCCCTGAAACCTATACTAATAGATTGGTCCATTAGCTAAATGTACATTGGTCATGTAAACCCACACTTTAGTCCATTCTTTATTGTTTAATATGTACTCATTTGAGGCTAACATTATTGTGAGAATGCTGCCCAGTCAAATGTTTTCATCTTGTAACAAAAATAAATATTTTTTACGGTTCTTTTAGACACACTATATAGCCTTGTTGAAGTGATTCAGAGGCACTCAGATATTAGGCACATATTGGTTATCTAACAGTTGAGTGAGCAAAGGCCTTTACTGCTTCACTAAGCAGAAGCTGTTTTCTGCACAAACCGTCTGTGTCTAACCCTGAGTGGTGCAGCTGCCAGCAATAAAACTGCTGTCTTTTTTCACATTTACAAAGAACCCACACTGCTCAGTTTCACCACAAAGCTAGAGCGATTCTCAAATTTCACAACTGCTTTCTGAGCCTCTATTGCCTACCTTGTGGTTTTTCAAAAGTTGTTGGACTGTAACTCCCATGAAAGTTAGCAAGTACAATAGCGAGAGACAATGGGAGATGCAGCCTGGACAGCATCACCTACCTGTGGACTAATACAAAACAGTGACCGGTAAAGCATTAACATGAGAAAGGAAGACATTGAAAGGGGGGACATCATTGTGCAACAAACAACTTTTTCCAAGTAATGGTGGAAATTCGTTGCATCTGAAGACACATAATGCTGACTGGTTAGAAGATCTCTCCTACTGGTGCTCCTAGCTAGTCAGCATTTACCTGGTTAAACAAATTTTTCCATCAACAGTCCTCCAGCCCTATTCTGGGGATGAAATGTTAACCTATTTTTTCATAAGATAGAAAAAAAGGAATACGTTTTCATCACACAGAGTGAGATAACCGGAGATTTTTGCTTTTATGCATGGGAGTGGGTATTTTATGCCTTTTTAACCAGATAGGCACAGCATTTTTAAGCAAATTGTACATTTCTGGCTGCTGGCGATTATGATAATGATGAAAGCATGTTTCTCTTCACAGCAGTGAAAATCTTGCAGTGTTTGACAAGTTCTACCATAATGTTTACATTCCTGCTATGCTGTTATCTCTTTTGCTGCTGCTATGTCTCTTTACAGACATTGGATTCTCCTCCCACTCATTAACCTGCCTTCCCTTGCTGCTGACCAATGGCAATGTCTTTTTGTCTCTGACTTTGTAAAATATCATTTCATCAGCCATAATCCCCATTATGTCACATCATGCTACACTTGCATTTTCAAGGAAAACATCACTGCAATAAGAATGTGATGCTGCCAATGCCCACAGTGATGCATGTTGTGGAATATATACTTGGCAGTTAATCTCCAAATATTTGTGGATATCCTCGTTCACATGAGACAATTGCAGATTAATTTCTGATAGAAATAGATGCATATTTCCCCCTTTGCAAGTGAATGCTGGCAATTACATTTCTCTGGCTGTCACTGCTGTTTCTTGGTTATGATTGCTGTTTTTTTTTTACTGTCTGGTTTTCAGACTGATCCCAAATCATAATCCATAAACATCCCCCAGATGTTTAGAAAGGATGATTTAGTCATTTAAACTGTAAGCCACAGTCAAAATGGAATAATACCTTATATGTGTAATCTCTTTTTATGCTAGTATTTATATATACTCTAAGCATGGAGAAAGTGCAGAAAATTGCAAATATACACTATAGTGATGGTATTGGTAACAGTATGATCTGTCCCTTCTAAATCAATGCTGATGGCTTATCAGAAGTAGAATTTGGAAATGTGATGTTTGTGGAAGGGGGATTATGGGATTTGTAGCCCAAAAAGCAACTCATCCAAGATCTGAAGTGCCCAGTTGTACTGGATACTTATCAGTTGTATAGATTAAAGAATATCAGCAAGTGCCATTTGTTGACTATAATACATGCAGTTTTAGGACAAAGACACCTGTCAATATCCCTGCTTCTATGCAGCTATATTAGGTACAGAATTAAAGAGTTGGAAATGGCATAATGGGCCAATGAGTCCAACACCCTGTTCAGTGCAAGATCTCCAGCTAAAGCATCCCCAAGAGATAGCTGTCCAGCCTCTTTTTTTTTTTTTTTTGGAGATGTTTGGAGAAGAAGGTTCCATCACCTATTTAGGTAAATGGCTTCATTGTCATATCACTCTTACTATCAAGATGTTCCTTCTAGAATTCAGTCAAAATCTGCTATCCTGTAACTTCACATCATAGAGCTATACCTACCTACCCTCTGGACTAGACCTGCGTCGTCTTCTTTTTGAAAGCCCTTGAGGTATTTAAAAAGTGTGTCTGTGCCACTCCATCTTCTCTTCACTAAGCAGAGTGTGCCCAGCTCCATCAACCTGTCCTTGTATGTTTTATTTTCCATATGTCTTATTATCCATGTTGGACTTTCCTGAATCTTCTCAAACTTGTCTATATCCTTCTTAAAATGAGGCTACCAGAACTGGAGTACTCCAGATGATGCTTGATCAGCATAGACTATAGTGGGATTATTACTTCCCGAGCGAAGGGGGATTGTTCAGTTTTTGATACAGCCATGTTGATTTTTAATGATTATGTAATTTTTTTCTACATGCTTAGAGACAGTCTATTCAATTGGAGAAGACGCACAAAATAATAACAGAATATTAAGGAGCACACAAGCACACCTCCTTCCAGCTTACACAAATGAACAGCATTGGATAAATGGCCCAGGAATCAATACACTTCCCAATTTATCTTCTCTGGTTTACAGCACCTCTGTACCCCAGAGTCCCCTAACCACGAGAACCTTCCTTTTCTTCCTGTTGGTGTCATCTGTTTCTGATTTCCTGTTTGAGCATATACACTGCTGAGGAAGAGGTTGCTTAGTTGGAGAGGTTGTTAAGTCTGGTTCTAACAACTGTCCCTATGGAGTGTTTCATCATTGTTACAGAACTCTTCATTTTCCTTGACAGATTCTTCCTATTGGTTCCACAGGACAAATTATCCTTGTATTCTGCTTAAGTCCTCATGTTCTCTGATGTACTGAAGAGTCTCTTTCTGTGTGTCAGCTATAGTGCAATGACCTTCTCTTCCAAGAGAGCTATCAATTTGCACTTACTGTAGGCGTAGTTGGTGAGACAAGAAGACAAACACTGCTTATACATTGCAACAGAAAACTCTGCATCTTTTTGCTACTATCTGTGCAGTCGTGTTTCTTTCCTGTTCTTTGCTGTACTTTCTATGAGGGATATATGGGACATAACTATACCAGTGTCTTAAAATTGTGTTGCCTTTCTTTACCTGCCTGCTTTTTTGTTTCAGCAGCTTCGGTTAAGGCTGATAATTAAAAAGTATGCAGATGAGTTATTATTTCCTAGAGTGTTTTGGCAATCTACTGATGGCTTATTCTGATTCTTCAGAATGTGGAGTTTTTTTCTCTCCCAAAAGCTGTATGTTGCATGTATACATGGGGACCCAAAACATTTTGCTAATGGAGTTTTGGTTTTACTCAGATTTGACCTTATGTGTGTAAAACTAAAATTTCATTAACAGAATGCTAAGACCTGCAGGTATGTTTGCAACATATTTAATTCTTTTTAGTTCTCCTCATCTTCCTTTTCCTCTCACACACCAGCAGAACAACACACTAGACCTCTATTCTTTCTTGATGGAAATACAAATAACCCCTTTTCACTTAAGAATAAGAAAGGGCTTCTAACATTTCAAGAGAACATGTGTGGAAGAGAGTGAGAAGGGTGATTTAATTGTCCCCTTCTGATGAGCTATAATTATTCCACTGGCCTTCAGTCTTTGAGGATGCTAGTGGGAGGAACTGAAGAAGGACCATGTCTAACCATTTTACACATATTAAAATAAAAGGATAATGTGGAGCAGTGATTTTCAACCTGTGGATCCCCAGATGTTTTGGCCTTCAACTCCCAGAAATCCTAATAGCTGGTTAACTGGCTGGGGTTTCTGAGAGTTGTAGGCCAAAACACCTGGGGACCCACAGGTTGAGAACTACTGGTGTAGAGGAACATTGTGGAATGGAACTCTACTTCTTTGTCCAAGGGTTCTGTTAATCACAGGGAATAATTGTGATGAGGTTGTGCCTTCAAGTTATATCTGACATATTATGGTTTTTTCTTGGCAGGATCTGTTCAGGGAGCCTTTCTACCTTTCTCTGAAGCTGAAAGAGTGTAATTTGACCAAAGTCACCCAGTAGGGTTCTGTGACTGAATAAGTATTCAAACCCAGCGTCCTAGTCCAACATTCACTACACCATGCTGGTTCTGTGATTTGTGATTCTTAAGTCAAAATCATGCTGAAGTAGCAGAGCAGCACTAAAAAGAAAGAAGCAGAGTCTGCATTCAGTGCTGGTTCTACATTTTTCAATGTCTAGAAAATGGAGGAGGACAATGTCTTCCACAGTATATTTTTTAATCTAATTTTCTAATTTTAATTTTCTGAAGGCTAAAACAGATTAATGTTTATATACTTGTATCTGTTTTAGCAAATATTGACAGGATTGGCAGATTTGTCAGTGTCTTGTATAGTAGGTGACTAGGAATCAAGAATGGATTATGTGCACAACCATTGGCAGGGATCCTCATGGCTGAGAAAATAGTTTCATGACCCAAATAAGTTTTACATTTTTAAAATTTATAAACAGTGTTTTCTATATTGGAAATAACTTTCTCTCCCAATGATTTCCAAGAGGAGTTTCTGTTACAGCTTGGGCTGAATGGTTTAGCAAAATGAATAAATTCTGTTTAAATCCCAGAAAACCATTGTGTAAGCCTAAGGATTTCTTTGGATGCCAGCTTCACTAGTTTTTGGTATCTTCAAGAAATGGAAAGTCATGCTTCCAGCTGTCACCTTCATTCATTCTTCTAATTATTATTATTATTTTGCAAGGTCCTAACACATGCATAATTCATAAGGGATAATCCTTGTTCTTATGCCACTTCTTTAATGAAATGTCTTCATTGGGATTCAATTACAAAAGCATCATTCTTTCAGTGTGCAGTGATAACAAGGGTATGAGGTACGATTTGTATAATCTGGTTACATGGATCAGATTGCCCGCCCATAGCCTCCTGGGCTTTGAGGGGTTTTTTTTCCTGAATAAATGATGATTAATTTTCCCCACAGCATTAATCTTTTCTCTCTTTCCTGCTTTCCTCCCCAACTCACTTTTCTCAGAGCCACAAGCAACCAGCTGCCTTTATAGTTACCCAGCACCCACTACCAAACACTGTAGCAGATTTCTGGAGGCTGGTGTTTGATTATAACTGTTCCTCTATTGTGATGCTGAATGAAATGGATGCTGCACAAGTAAGTTAAATTTTGAATATGTAAATATGTGCAGATCTGGTGTTTTCATCTACTATGGCCTAAGCCAAATATTGTGGTTAAAAAAACCAATTCTAAAATATTTCTATAAAACTGAATATATAGTTTGAGTTATGCCTTTCATGAGTGTCTTGGCCTCTTCTACAATTTGTTATGAGTTCATGTGTTGATGCAACATGTAGTCTTGCTGTACATGTATACTAACCACTTAGGTCAATTTGAAACTGTAATAGAAAGAAAAATTACATTGGCAACCCTGAAATGGCAAAATTATCTGAATTGTTTTGGGCTATTGACTTCTGTTGAGAGATACAGCCTGTCACGTTTCATAGCAACAGGTATATAGGTTTCACTGACATAGCTGTGTTACTCTGGAATAACATTATGCAAAGGGATACAGTATAACTTTTGAGACTGAGAGAAAGATGTTAGTGGCATAAGCTTTCTTAGATTGAAGTCCACTTCATCAAATGCAGTTTACAAATTCTAAAATTGCATTTGATGAAGCTTCCTTCTCCATTCTGTCTCTCAAATAGGTTTTGTACACATGATAGCCATGTATAAATATGTGAGAGGAAGTCACAGGGAGGAGGGAGCAAGCTTGTTTTCTGCTTCCCTGGAGACTAGGGCACAGAACAATGGCTTCAAACTACAAGAAAGGAGATTTCATCTGAAGAACTTCCTGACTGTGAGAGCTGTTCAGCAGTGGAACTCTCTGCCCCGGAGTGTGGTTGAGGCTCCTTCCTTGGAGGTTTTTAAACAGAAGCCAGATGGCCATCTGTCAGGGGTGCTTTGAATGCAATATTCCTGCTTCTTGGCAGGGGATTGGACTGGATTGCCCATGAGGTCTCTTCCAACTCAATGATTCTATGATTCTACAGGTGGTATACATAGGTTTGTAAAAGAGCTGCTTTCACCATAGATATGGTGGTGGTGGTGGTAGTGGTGGTAGAGTAGGAGGAGAAGGAGAAGGAGGAGATTATCTAATTTACATTTTGTTGGGCATTGTTATGATTTTATTCAATGGTCTCTAAGGACTCTTCCAGATAACTTATGATTGCTCATTGGATACTTCACTGCCTCTTTTCCCCAAACTTTTGAGTCATTTTTTCCTATTTGCAGAGAGATCATGTTGAAAGGTTTTGTAATACAAGATGTTACTGGGAACGTTGGTACTTAATGTTTAAAATCCAGGCAATTGTACTTTGCTTATTTATTTTTTTAGCACAATCTTTTAACCATTTTTTTTTCCTCCAGCTCTGTATGCAGTACTGGCCAGAAAAGACATCCTGCTGTTATGGGCCAATCCAAGTGGAATTTGTTTCTGCTGACATAGATGAAGATATTATCAATAGAATATTTCGGATCTGCAACATGGCAAGGGTAAATCCTGTTTTCCCATCAGCCTTAGGATTTTAGGCAGAATATCTTTGGAAAGAATGTATCTTTATATTCTCTCATGTTTTTCTATTTGTCTTCTCTGAGATATTCCATCAGGTAATTTAGGCTTATTCAGTCAGTTAAAGGGAAGTGCAGTAAAATAGACTAATATTTGGTTAGTGAATTAAATAGGTATACACCAGAAGTTTTTAGTTGTGTTTTGTCTCTCTCTTTCTAATATTTTTTTGCCACATTTGTCTATAATCTTTTTGAATAAAGAATCCATTTTAGCCTGGTTTATTGGTAAGAGGTCTTCTGAATAATTCCTTTGGATCCTCCTTTGGGAGAAATGCAGGTAACAAACAAACAAAAAAAAACCCAAATAATTCATTAGTGTGAATCAGTTTCCTCTTCTCAGGAATGATGATTTCCTATTCAGGTCTTGTGCCACCCATATGTAGCCTAGCTGATCTTCTTTCCCCCATCTTGTATCCATTCCATCTCTCTACAGTTGCTTTTGCTTCCTTTCTTGTTATCCTGGCAGATACATTTCTTGTTTTCCCTTGAACACAGACAAAATAAAATTTACAGAATAGCAGGGAGCATGAAATTGATATATTCACTTCTTTATAATTTAACTCTTGGCATTTTTAAGCTTTCAATAATTAAGCCAGCTCAGAGGCATGTTTGAGGCTATCCATTTCTGTCTCTATGAATGTGGGATCACTGGATCGAGGAGAGGGAGCTCCATGTGGTCCACAACCCCCCATAGTTTACAATGTTCTTTCTCAACCTTTAGAGGAAAAAATGTTTTACCAATGTGCATTCATAGTCCACAATGTGTCAGATACAGTTTGCTGATTTTATCAGCATTCCACAAATATATGTTCCTTGCCCTGTCTTATGGAAACCTTATCATGGGGTTTTAGGTTAAAAAATATGTTTCCATTGCACAGTGGGGACTCATAACATGGTGCTCAGGTATCTAGTCCAACACTCAAGGAGTGCCTATATTAACAGATTGCCTTTTTCTTTCTGGAGGAACTCAGTCCTCTTTCCAATATAATTATCCTGTCTCTACTGTCTTATCTCTACATGTTAACCATTCATGATATATAGTCCCTCCAGCCATGAACATGACAGATAATGTTCCTTCTAATCTTTTATGTATCAGTATTCTTCAGTCTGCAGGAAATGGGTAGTGCTTGCAACTGCGATTCTTGAATAATAGTCTCAGAAATTCCTGAAGTGATAATGCCCAAAGTAACCTCGATGTTCATTCCCACAAATGATATATCCCATGTAGTTCATTCTTAATGTTCTAGCAATTCTTTAAAAGGACTCCTATGGGTGAAGAGTGGAGAGAACAATTCTCATTCCAAAAACTCAGTTTCTCTAAGCATTTTCTCTTGAGATTGAAGGGCTACCTGAAATTAATACTTCTTAGCAATACTTTGCAAGGACAAATTGCATGTTTTAAAATTCTTTTTATAAGGAAAGATGGAAGCTGTTTTATAGTACTTATGTTCCAATACCTGAACTTCTACCTAGAAATGTGTGTACATTGATGGACCAATGTATAATTCTTTTCATCCTAGCCACAGGATGGCTACCGTATTGTTCAGCATTTGCAATATATTGGTTGGCCAGCATATAGAGATGTACCTCCTTCCAAGCGCTCACTTTTGAAAGTGGTTAGGAGGTTGGAGAAATGGCAGGAGCAGTATGATGGACGAGACGGACGGACAGTGGTCCATTGCCTGTAAGTGCTTGTACTTCTTTAAGAACTGTTCACTAAGTGAATGTTCACAGATCTACCGATCTTTGTTGCATTGATAGAATACCACAGATAGTATTTATACATATGCATAAATAATCCCTATTGACGCAATTCATCTACTGTATAACACATTAAAAAGTAAGACTTTTAAAAAAATATGTTGTTGATTGAGATTTGAAGAAAGATAAAGATGGAAAGAATATTAAAATTTAATAAGTGAGAAAGGGGCTTCTGTAGTGACTAGAAACTCTTAAGATGAGAATCATCCTCAAACCCTTTTCTCATTTTGTTTCTATCCATCCATTCCTAGAGCAGACACAACACACACCTGGTAGGAGAGCAGCGGCAAACACCCAAAGAAGATCAACACCAGCATCCTGCCCATCACACAATGACATCATCATGCATAACCTCTAGTGCAGGCCTCTACAACCTGTGGCCCTCCAGATGTTTGGGACTCAGACAGGGCCTTCTCTGTGGTGGCTCCCCGCCTCTGGAATGCCCTCCCGAAAGATCTCAGACAGGCCCCTACTTTGGCGGTTTTCAGAAAGAACCTGAAAACTTGGCTGTTCCAACGTGCCTTCTCAGATTAGGAACCCCACTACCAAAGCCCAGAAGCACTTTAGTAGAGTCAAGATCACCTTCACCGCACACTGCACTTATATTTTAATCCCATATCCCTCCGACACTTCAGCACTTTTAACCCTGTACCCCACTCCGGCCGGCTCAGTTTTTAATAATGTCCTGTTGTATTGCTATTGTTTTCTGCTTTAACTGTTTTTTTTGCTATGTATTGTATTGTTGTATTGTGTTGGGCTCCGGCCTATTGTAAGCCGCATCGAATCCCTTGGGAGATGCTAGCGGGGTACAAATAAAGTTAAAAAAAAAGACTCCCAGCAGCCCTAGCCAACTTGTCCGATGGTCAGGAATTGTGGAAACTGAAATCTCAAACACCTGGAGGACCACATGTTGTGCAGGCCTACTCTACAGGGAATATCAAGAAGTTGTAAAGATTCCACTATGGTCGTGTTCCAGGACCTGATATGAATACCACCGTCCATAAATGCTTAAGTTCCATTATATAAATTAGTGTATTAAAATGACATCTCTTACATAAAATGGCGAACAACTCAAAATGTATTACAGGGCATTGTTGGAACTTTAAATCGTAGCTAGATCCAGAATGTATACATGCAGCTTAGAATCCTACCCTCTACTTCCAAATGAAAGAGAGCTCAAAGAAGGTGACAATGATGAACTTTACCAGCTCTCAAAAAGGTCAGGTACTTTATATGGTTCAGGATCCTACTATAAAGGCCAGATAATTAAAATATGTGTATCACCACAAGATGTAGGATTGTGTCTGCTCTCCCTCTTATACTGATGCATTGATGAACCTGTATATATAGAACCTACACAGATATCAACCTCTCTAAATATATTATTGCAGATAGTCATGTTAGGGGAAATGTCTTAGATTCTCCCGTATTTAGAGATTTCCTTAATCATTAGAAAGAGGCTTTAGAAAAGTCTAATTTTTCTAAAACATTTTCTTTTTTCTATGCGTAGGAATGGTGGTGGTCGCAGTGGCACCTTCTGTGCTATATGTAGTGTATGTGAAATGATCCAGCAGCAAAACATTATTGATGTGTTTCACATAGTGAAAACCTTGAGGAACAACAAGTCCAACATGGTGGAGACACTGGTAAGTACAAGCAAAGCTGCCTTCCCATTCCTAGCCATTACTGTTCTCAAGAGCTACTTAGATATTAGTCCCCTTTAGTACAATAGTACTTGCTGCTAAATAAGTATGTCATCTAGCAGAGTTACGTTTTTGAACTACAGCTCCCACAATTCCTCTTCTCCCAATACATTGCATGCCTTATCTTTTTGCTATAATTTAAAGACCAGTAATTATTCAATTCATGGAGCCCCCGGTGGCGCAGTGGGTTAAAGCACTGAGCTGCTGAGCTTGTTGATCGAAAGGTCGCAGGTTCAATTCCGGGGAGTGGCGTGAGCTTCCACTGTCAGCCCTAGCTTCTACCAACCTAGCAGTTCGAAAATATGTAAATGTGAGTAAATCAATAGGCGGGAAGGTAACGGCGCTCCATGCAGTCATGCCGGCCACATGACTTTGGAGGTGTGTACGGACAATGCTGGCTCTTCGGCTTAGAAATGGAGATGAGCACCACACCCCAGAGTCAGACATGACTGGACTTAATGTCAGGGGACTACCTTTACTTTTACCTTAATTATTCAATTCACATTTACAGTCTTTTGCTGTCAAAGGAAGATCTACCCATCTTTCCCACTTGAAAAAAGAAATAGAAATAGCCAGTGATTCTGCAGAATGCTAAATACATTTTGTGAATACTTCATTGTTAGAGTCTAAATTCTAGTGTTAGTCCTGATTAATGTAGAGCCATTGAAAACTAGATTTGTGTATGTGTTGACCTGCCATGCAGCAATAGATTCATTGGATCTCATCTGATTGATACCAACCAACAGGGTTTTAGCAATTGACTTTAAGGATGTCTTGAAGCATAAACATGCATGCTGATACAAAAACAGGAGGGAAAGTATCTTAAACAATAACTTGTCTTTCTCTTTGTGCTCTTCCTTTCTCTTGTTATTTTCTCTTTTCTTTTTAGGAACAATATAAATTTGTATATGAGGTTGCACTGGAATACTTGAGTTCATTTTAACCGTCAAGGGCATGGAGCTTGAATTCCAAAAGCCTTGATGTTTGAAGGACACCAGTCCTCTCCCCCTCAAAAGAGTAAAGGGATGAAGAGTGTAAAGTTCTTCACTGTTTAGTGAGAGACCAGGTCAGATCTCAGTGCCATTGGGAGGAAGAAGGATCTACTGATGTCTGCTTTCCAGAACATCTCTTGTTTTTTAAAACGATCTACTGTATGAATTGGCAAAGCAAGAGGCAGGCTGGAAGATTCTGCTTTCTAATACCTTCTGACTGATTCTCTGCCACTTTGGATGTGTATTTTTGTTTTTACTTGAGACAAATGGGAATGGGGAAAAATACTTGGATAATCCTTTGTCTTCAGCTCTGCTTTCTGTTTTTTTCTGGGGTTTTTTTTGCTACAAATCCTCACTTTATGTTTTTAATTTCATTTATCAGCCATTTGGTAAAGGAAGAAAGCTTCAGTAGACACATATTAAGGCTTTCAGCACAGTAAGCCTTTGTGATCAGCTTCTCTAATGAAAAGGCCACCGTCATGAAGCTGTACATTCCTGTCTGCTGCCATTGTCTCAGAAGCAGAGCACAGAGCTAAGAGGTTGCTGGTTAATTTTCTGCCTTGGTTGTTACACAGTGCTAGTAGATTTCCAATGTTCTGCATGGATTGGTTACATCTTAATAGTTCATATCAGCTGCAGCTTTTCTGAAGCAGTGCTGTAAAATTGCACCTCCTAGCCACTGAAAATGAGAACACCTTAAAATTGTAATCACGTTTCCAACTATTATTGTTCTTTGATTTGTACTGAAGTTAATTTCATGTTACCATAAGTATTTGTGTGCAGTGTCCTTAATGCTGGTTGAAATGTAAGGAAAGGCTTAGAAGCCCATTGGGTGGGTTATAGCAGGCATGGGCAAACTTCAGTCCACCAGGTGTTTTGGATTTCAGCTCCCACAATTCCTAACAGCCTATTTTTCCTCATTCCCATATTGGCTGTTAGGAACTGAAGAAGTTGAAGTCCAAAACCCCCGGAGGACTGAAGTTTGCCCTTGCCTGCATTATAAGCATATTGCAGTAAGCTTACCTTGGAGGTTGTTTCCATCAATTATCTAGTATTTATTATAAAGTCAGGTTCTGCCATGTGATAAGTGATGGTCAAGATCACAGCCTTCTTGCATACATGGCTAAGTGACACTGATCATTAAGACTTGGTGGCAGCAGTTCACACCTTCTGATAAACAGTATTTTTAAAATGAAAAAAATGAAGTATGTATTTATTAGGAGTTTGCAGTATAGTCAAGTTTACCTTTGCAAGTTAGACTTGTCAGTCATATTTCCCCAAACGGGGATATAACAGAGTTATAAGTATCTGATCTTGAGATTGTAGAGGAGAGATTGATGTTTATGGCATGATCATAATCCAAAATAAAGTACAACTTTCATATTTATTATCCAGTGGCCAGCCAAACAATGCAGTTCCTATTTGATATATGGCAAAATGTTACCTATGCATAATAGTAACAGCAGCAACAAAAGGGTCAACACTGGCATACCGGGGAACAAGATCAAGATTATACTCCTCAGACTTTTCTTTAAAATCTCAAAATACAGTTCTTGGAAATGAACACCAAACAATTCGCCTGTGTTGCCTCAGGTTAACAATTATATTTTGAAGCTGTAGAAGCATGTATAAATTGGGGTAATACAAAATGTCCAATTTCTCTTTCACTATGTGCCCTGTTTAAAAAAAGATACCTATTATAATTATTCAGTATTTTTATACAGTTATCAATCATTAATTAGCTTCCAGTTTCCTTTTAAAGGTGTGAAAAAAGGGATCAAAAATTCATCTCTGTCTGATTCAACCAAATTCATCATGGTTTTTGGAGCTGGATCTGTACAACAATACAACTCTGGATCTGGGTGATCCATTTTGCAAAAAAATATGATGGCCGAGACTTGGCACACAACAAATACAATTAGCAAGTAGGTAATCTTGGATGTAGCATCTCCCAGAATGCTTTAGCTTTGTGAGGTCAACATCCTTTGTCACTATTACCAATGTGGAAAGCCTGTTTTTTGATATTAATGTCTTTCTAAAAATCCACATGAAAACTAACATAATAGTTAATTACATTCTCCGTTGGAAAGCACAGGCATCTGTAAACATGTCAACATATTTGTTCATACATCTTTGAACATATGTTTGCATCTCAGACTTAGTGTTATTCTAGTGTTGAAAAAGAAAAACCAAATACCTGGTATGGGTGTTGATGTTTTGCTTAGCATTCTCATCTCAGTTTCCTGTCGAGGGAAAAGGTTTCCACATTTAACAGTTGTATTTTTCACGAGTCCCTACTGTTGTGTTTCTATCCTCGGGTCATTTCATTAATAACAAGGCACTCAAGCCTTAGACATATTGATTTGGGACATTTGAAATATAGTATTAATTTCTTTTTAAAAAAAATCAAAAAAAATCAAAGGGTAAAGCAACAATAGCTTCAAGACATCTTAATTTAGAAGGCACCTTTAATTAGTAATCATTTTGCTCCCAGGACATATTTTTACAAGTTCACTGGAAGGATAAAATCATTAAATGCTAGTGAAGCAATCTATGTTTTAAATGTGCAAGTAAATAACAGAAATAGCTACAGAATTTGTAGCAACCAAAGCTAGGAATAAAATCCTCCTGGAAATGCTAAACACATTTACAACAAAAGCCACAGAGCATAAAATAGCCTTGCTATTTGCTTGAGACAGCACTTTTTCTTGCCCAGTTGAGAGACCTTGTTTATTGGGCTTGATCCACCGTTGCTTACCTTCATGTAAGAGAATGGGAACAGCATAATAAACAGCATAATACATTTGCAATTCCTCAATCTTCTATTCTGTGTGATTGAGGCATGAACAAGCAGTATGTAACCTATTTATTTATTTATTTATTTATGTACCACACTTGTACCCTGCCCTTCTCACCCCGAAGCGGACTCAGAGTAACCTTACAAAGGCAACAATTCGATGCCACATAAACATTTGCAGAATGACAAATAAACAAATGCATTAAAATCTAGGCTTTCTAGTTTCAGTGCAGAGGGATTGTGTTGGGAAAATGTCCTCATTGTAATTGTCTGTTGTTTGAATAACGACAGAGACTGGAACTTGATGAATGGTACTACAGGTATATCTCAGTTAACAAAGTATTCTTGTGCATTATTTCTTGAACAGAATTAGTGGTACCAGCAGGAGAAACTATATGGAATAGATAGAAAAAGGTTCCTACACCACAAAAAGAGCAGTTCAGTGTAGATTTGTGGTTTTTAACATGCTAACTCAAGCATTATTGCATTGCTTAATATGCCACAATGGTCTGATAACAAAAGTCTATTACCTCTCATTCTCTTATACTATTCCACCAATGCAGATGCAACTAAAAAAAAAAGATCCAGACAAAAGACAATTATTAATTAGTAATTATTATGATTTAGGGAAGATGACAGGTGAAATCTAATATATAGATAGTAATATTTAATTTTAAAGAGAAGAATGATAAGGCAGAGGCAGGCAAAAGGAAAAGCAATAAACATGCTTATCCTGCAATACCACAGTCTGCCATGAACACAAATTTGTGCAGGCATGGAGAGTGGATACAAACTATCTGCATTATGAGGATTTTTAGTGTACCAGCCTAGAAAAAAATTGAGTGGAACTGAAGACAGGTTCCATGTGGAATATACAAGAAAAAAAGACATGGGAAGGGGCATACAGAGAGAGGGAGATGTAAAATATCAGATGTGGGATTGCAAGAGAAGAGGGAAATGAACATATAGGTTTCAAATCCTTCGTTGATGGTTTGAGGATAAAAAGATGAGTTTTGAAAATAAGAGAGTAAGAAGAGGAGTTTTGGAATAGGAATTCTTGCAAGCAGATTTACCACATTGCTCCAGGACACAGAATGATACAATAACACAGTTGGAAGAGATCACAAGGGCCATCCAGTCCAATCCCCTGCCATGCAGGAATTCACAATCCACACACCCCTGACAATACGCTTATCTTTTTATTTTAAATATTCCCGCCTGCCTCCCATACAACTCAAGGCAGCTTATACTTTATGCAGTATAAAAGTTGAGTATCCCTTATCTGAAATGCTTGGGCTCCAAATTCAAACTTTATACTAACTGAATTTGCATATGCATACATAATGGGATATCATGGAGATGGGACCCAAGTCCAAACATGAAATTCATTTACGTTTCATATACACCTTATACACATAGCCTGAAGGTAGTTTTATATAATATTTTTAATCATTTTATGCATGAAATGAAGTTTGTGTACATTGAACCACCAAAAAGCAAAGGTGTCTATATCTCAACCACCCAACTTTGAATTTGGAATATTACATATATTGAATTCTTGATAAGAGATGTTCAACCGGGATTTGATACACAATAAGTATGGAATGCATGCTGTAGTAGAAATCTGACCACCTCAGATGCCATCTACAATGACCATTTAATGGCAACAAACTCCTACAATAAATGCATGAAAAAAAGCACTTAATGCACACCAGTGTTCTTTGGTTTGTGTAATTACTATCTGGGCCTCAAACTGGTTCCAGGATTTCCTATGTAAGCATCTTCACAGTGAAACCACTTTCTTCAATATTGGTTTGAAACTGCATTAAATGGCCAATATAGATGGGCCTTCAGTGAGTTTCAGCTTGATAAATTATCTATGATTCTGTACTAATAGGGATAAAAAAAATCAAAAAGAATTTGGAAAAAGTATGTCCCTTGACTGTTGAGAGACCCTAACCAGAAAATCCTGGATTGATAGGCTGAGTGTTAGTTTGTCAGAAAACATGCAAGTTTCCTTAACAGAAAATGTTTCATCCGTAGAAAACAATGTAGTTGGAGAGTTACTCTGCATAAAACGTGAAAACAGTATTTTCTGCATAGAAAAAATGCAAATTTTGTGCAGGAGAAATACTGAGCTATGATTAGTGTGAAAACTATGCAGTTTTAAAAGGCTTTCTCATAGCAAGAAAAATTGTTAAAAAAATCTTTTCAAGGAAAAATATTAGAAAAGAATTATTATCTGACTCTAAAGAGAATTCAACCTCTCAGGAAAGATATGGGGAATCCTCCTACTGCATTATTCTCTAACCCAATTCAGAAATGCTAGAGATTCATCATAAGAAAATAATAACAACATGCAATCTTGAAGTATGTTCAGGAGGGAAATGTGTTTTACAATCGAATTGCTATATCCTGTATTTCTCACAGACCCATGTTTAAGCCCATTCTCACCAGCCATTCAAGGCTACAAAATCCACTAAGCAGTGCCTTTGAAAAAAGCATTCCTCCTACAGTATTGTTAAGAAATGCTTTGTGCTTGAGAAATGCTTGACATTCTTTCATCTCCACCCATCAATGAAATATTGAGTGGAATATGATGGAAGATCTATTTAGACATGGCCATATTCTATGCACTGCGTGGGTGCTAACCAATAGACCTTGAATAGATTTAAGAATGAAGTGAGGTTTCCAAGTTTAGCTCCCTTATTGACTGAGATTTTTTTAAATGAAAGAAATAATTCTGATGCCACACATTGAAAATGATGCAGAACTGGGGCTAATGAAGTAGCAACCTTATTCTCACTCATCTTTCTTATGTCAAGAATAGAACTGTAATTGTTAATATTTTCATTTCTATCACACTGT